TTACAACAGATTTCAAGAGCTTTTGTGCTAAAAGCTCAGTTCAACACTGTGCTTTCGCCAATATGCACTGATCTCGCTACACTACAGCCACAATCTTACAAAAGACATAAAGATCTCTTGAAATGTGTCGCATGCGCATTTATGCACTTTTGCAACACTTGCCACATGCGGTGGCAACATAACAATTTGCTAATTTGCCAGCTACTGTGCGCTAAGTTGACACTATTCATGTGTAGCAACATAAAAAGCGGCGACGGCTATGTTTAAATTTTACTATTTTTTGCCAATGTTGCATGCAACAAACTATATGTATGCAAGGTAATAAAAGGTTTGCGCCGCTTATAGTGCTACTGAAGTTTGCACAAGTTTTTATTACTTTTGCTTTATGTTGTTGTAACTGTTATTGTTGCCACGATGTATTTAAGTTTTAGAGTGCAGCTATGGCTTGCAACAATGATGTGCTATTGTGTTTGCTGCAATTAATATGCTCATCAACACTTGACTAACACTAACCGTTTGAGCAAGTGCTACTTGCTATTTTACTAGCTGCCACACTTGCCACAATATACTATACGGTGCATTTGTCGCTCGGCGCTCACTGCTGTTTTATGCAGCAGACGGCACATAAATTCACGCGCTAACCATTTGTTGCAATGCAACACTACATATTACTGCAACGACTACTTGCCACAATTTGTTGTTAACCACACGCATGCGTGTTGCGCAGCGTAACGCTACCGGTTTGTCAGCTTGTGCGTTTGACGGCTGACTACCTTGAGTGCAACTGTTGTCGATTGCACGCAAGCGCAAAGAGAACAAAAAAAACAAAAAAAAAGTAAAAACACATGCAACAAAAATAATAACAATAATAATAGCAAAGTGCAACAACTACTTGCCACTCGCTGCTAACTTTAGTAAACTGTGCTCGCTTGGCTGCGTGTTGCTGTGCAGCAGCTGTGCTGCAACTTGCCAGTTTTGCCATATTATTGCGCCTTGCCACATGATTATTAATAACAGTTATAATGCTACTATGCATAAATATTGATGCTACCACTATTTGCGCCAAATGGTGCATGTTGCATATACTAGTTGTTACCTAAATGGTAGTTACAAGCACCATTCATGCCACATATGTTTGTGTGGCAAGTGAACACCTAACGCAACTATCAATTTGGCGACGCGTCCGTGTGCGGCATTTGTCACAACAGTAAGTTGATAGCCATATATATATATGCATGAATTACTGGTGGGCTGCAACATCCGCTGCTGCTGCCACTGGGGTGTTGGCACTCGTTTGCTTGCCACCCGACAACTGTATGCTGCGCGTGCAAATAATTTCTGCGAATTTGTTATATTGAATTGATTTATTGCGTATAAAATGGGCATCGTTATGACAGCTTGTTGCAGCTATGGTGTACTTGCAACTTGCCACATGACATGAACACTACATACCGTATAGTTATCGTATTGCTGAAATCGAATGCAATTGGGTCATTATATAAAATCATGATTTTTGTACTTGCAACATGTAGTTTTTGTTGCAAGAACTTTTTTTTTTTACTGATTTTTAAGCGTAAAATATGTCTTGGCTGATTAGTGAATACATTGAACGTGTTGCAAGTTCCGAATGCCGTTGCAATACTATATAAAAATATACTTGCAACATAGCAGAAAATGATATTAGTTGCAGAACTCATTAAAGTAACTCAAAGTAATGTTGCAATAATATACGCAATAATATACGCATAATCTACTCTTGTTGGTGGTATTAAAATACAGTTGCAACATACTAAGCTAAGTGAAGGTTGCACTTTTATATCAGTGAGCGCTTATATAGACAGTGTGTACTGGCAACATCTACAATAACCTGAAAAAAACGTTGCTAATTAAAAATTTAGTGCTTATGAGGGAAGCTGCAGTCAAACTGATGTTGCAACATGCAGAAAAACATGTGGGATTGGCTTCCAATTAAAGCATCACTATTGCTTCTATAAATAAAGTCACTGAAAAACATTTTGTGTGCTTGCAACTTTGGGAAAATACTTGCCACAAAGAAGAAATATTGTACGCAAATTTTCAATACTCGAAACCCAGCACAGTTTAATATTGAAAACTATCTTGAATCTAACACTTTCCAAAAAAAAGTTCATATTAAAAGTGTTTTTTACTTGCAACATTCATGAAAATCGCTTGCTGTGTGCTTGTGTCGCACAAAAAACTTCACTTGCAGCTTGCACGCTTTTTATATCGCTGTACATACATATAATAAGCCAAAGTTCATAAGCATAAATATTGTGCTTGCAACATTGAAACCAGTTTGCAATAAGCACTATATGCGCACCATACGTGCTTGCCACACATTAGTTACACCAATAACGCTAACAACGACAACATTTTTTGAAGCTTTTGATGCATTGCCATTGATGCCGCAGTCGCAGACGCATTGACTTGCTTGCAACCCCCTACGCATGCACCGGCCACACAAGCGACGCAATTGTTGTTGCCACTTTTTTGTTTATGTTTGTCTCGTCTCTGCTGTGTGCTATGTTGCTAGTTATGTTGTACATCTATTGTTGCAACATTGCTGTCCCTTTTTGTTTTTGTTGCACATTATCGCTGCCGCACATCGCTCTGTTGCTACACCAGCTCGTTCTGCATACACAATACAGCTTTGCTGCAATATCAATCGGAGCTTGCTGCCTGCCACATCCTCTTGTAGCCTTGTTGCAAGCAGACAAAAAAAAAAACGGCAGAGTTACTGCTGCTGCGTGACGATTTATGAGCGTCTGCTGGCGGTGATGACTGTTATTAGTTGTATGGCAGCCAATACAACAGTCGCTGCTGCGGCAACAACAACAATAAAAACAACTATCGAGCTTGCCACACACACCGTCAAAACGCGCGCTGCTGCGGCGCCTTTTTTGCCAACACAAATTGCTCACTTTTTGCCAGCATTTGTGTCGAATATTTGTTTTTGTTGCTCTTGCATCTCCCGCTGTTTGCCACATGCGTGCAACGCATCCGCTGCGTCATGTAGGTGTCCGCGCGCCCACTTTGGCCAGCCGCGTAGGGGCTTGTTGGCGCTGCTTGTTGTTGCTATTTACCATACCGCGTTATATTTTGTACCTGTGTTCAGTTTGTTGCTGCAGCTTGTTGCACGTAGTCGGATCTTGCCGATTACTTTTCGTTGTTGGCTTTTTTGCGCGTTTTTTCGCCTCTTGCATATTGCACAATTAACAGCAACTGCGCATGTAAACGATGTGATAATATTGACGATGACAACAATAACAATAGCAACAACAAAATGCGCAACAAACCCACATATTTCATGTCGGTATTCTGTGTGTTTGTTGCCACATGCTCGTTCATTTCAACTTATCGATCGCCGGCGCTGATGAGATTCCACGCCTGTGTCGCCCGTTGGTGGTCGTCTGCCTGCCTCAGCCTCATTGCTGCCCCCTTTATACCACCTCTTCTATTCTCTTTTGCTGCATAGTGCGCGATGTTGTGGCCGATCTGATCGTCGTCCGTCGCGGCAGCGAGCCCACAGGCGCACCTGTAATTTCGTTTGAATTGCCCGGATGACCGGCGCGCGGTTCGACGAGTGTTGCTTGCCACACCGTATGCCATATGTATTCGATCACACGTTGCTTTTTTTTGGCGTTGATGTACTTGTTGACTTTATAAATTTAGTCATTCGTTGCACTAATGCCAAATTGCTGTAGCCCTAAGGCGTCATGCCACAGTTGGGCATTTACATAAATTTTTATTAAAACTAATTATTTGTTGTAATTGGAATTTGTGGCTAAGGGTGGCGGCGTAGTGTGCCAGGAAGTTATGCAAATACAAGTGGATGCAGCTTTGCTGAAGTGGAAATGGAATTTTCTTAAGCGTTAAGTGTGCTGAATACTTTTTGTGGCATGCTTGATGACATGCTTGTTGAGGCAATATATTTGAAGAATGTATAAGAGCCTCAATATTTAATTTACGAACAGCACGTGCAAATATATCACTAAAAAATGGATGCTTGAACATGATTGACAAGGCTTATAGTACTTTGCAATGCTTAAAATAAGAAAATTTATGAACTGTTGGAAGCAATATTGCTTGACGTATAAGTGGTAAGTCACTGAGTGCACATTAATAATGCTTGAACCTGATTGTTCAGCTATAAAGTATTGAAATGCACTATGAATGAAAAAAGAAAGTAAATTTTCTAAGGTAATATTGTTATTCGTACCGGTACTAAATCGTTGAGTTCATACATATAATGATTGAACATGATTGCCTAGCGATAAAATATAGAAATTCGCTTTAAAGCGACAAAGAAATTTGAAATTTCTAAACTAATATTGCTATTCATACTAGTAGTAAATCACTGATAAAATTTTGGTAATGATTGAACATGATTGGTTAGCTAAAAAATATTGAAATTCGTTTTAAAGCGTCAAAGAAATTTGAATTTTCTAAACTAATATTGCTATTCATACTAGTAGTAAATCACTGATAACATTTTGGTAATGATTGAACATGATTGTTTAGCTAAAAAACATTTAAATTCGTTTTAAAGCGATAAAGAAACTGAATTTTTTGAAGTAATACTACTATTCATACTAGTAGTAAATCACTGAGTTCATATTCATATTTATGCAAGCTTGTTGCTTGTACACAAGGCTTGACGCTTATTTTAATACATTTCAGATGCATAAAACAAATATGTAGACTTGCAGCATGGTAATAAAGAGTATAAGCTAATATCTACATTAAAATTTCGCCAAAACTATATTTTCTTTTCATGCTTGAATATGACTTTTGGCTAGACTTACCTGCAAAATCAACAACTGTTTGCAGTTTTGGTACAAATATGACTTCTTGCATTTATTTCACTATTTGCAAAGCATGATTGATGCTTGTTGTATAGGCTTGATTGCTGATTTTCGTACAGCTCGCAACTTGAGGCATATATAAAGTTAAAATTACCATTTGCCTATATAAAATGGCTGAAATTGACCAATTTTTGGCATGCTTGAAGGGCTGTCAAAGCTGAAAAACAAACGAATAAAGCATATTTTAATATTTCAAATTATAAATATGATAGGCACACGAAGTATTATAAAATAATAACTCAAAAAAAAAAAAAAAAATAAAAATAAAATAAAATAAATAAATAACTAACTTCATGCCGCAAGCATATTTTTTGTGAAAATCATTTCAAGCACAGTCAGAATACATGAAAAAATTAATTTTCTAGCAGTGAATCGATTTGGAAAATCAAAATATTAACAAAACGATTGAATGGTAGTCAGAAAATTAAAAAAAATATCATTGGATGGCAACAACAAAATATGCGACTGCGAAATCAATTCAAATAAAATGCAAATTACATTAAACCGTGAGGCAAAAAGCGCGAAAATGAATAGGAAGACAACAACAAATATGTATGAAAAAATACAAAAAAGCAAACGATCACTAATGGCGCGCTCAACTTGGAGCGCCGCCCGTAATTTTATTGGCTTTGGCAAAGCAACAACAACAAAAACGTAAAATAAAGCAAGAACATGGAAAAAGTTTCTGGCAAGCAAGAAAACATTTGCAGCCAACTGAAAATCTGACTAAAAGCAACAAAAAGGGTAAAACCGAAAGCAAACGGCCGAAAAAATATATAAATACAAGTATATATATGAAAGGGAATGTGAGAAAAAAATTGCTAAACTGTTTGTCAGCGCAAAACAAAATAGAAAAAAAAAAATAAACAAATCAACACACGTAAAACTTTCAGCGCAAATGAATAACTGCAAATGACAGGCTGTCTATGAGCGCTGAGTGAGGGTTGTGTGAGTAATTGTGTGCTGGAGGCGGAGTGAAGCGCAGCTAAAAGAGTGGGAGAAGTCACAAAGCGAAATGAGACAAAATTAAATTAAATTAGCCAGTACGCTGAGCGAAAACTAAGCGTATTTTAAAGCTAGCCATAATTTCAAACAATTCAAGCATGCTTGAAGGGTATTAATAAGCGCGCTGGCACAAAATATTTGGAAAAATGTTAAATGAAATTAATATAGTATCTAATTGTGAATAAACTTTGTGCGAATGGGGGACTATAGGTGGTGCTTGATATATGCTTGAATGCTTTAACAAGCGTTTTATTGGTAGGAAATGAAAATTTAAACTAAAAAGGGCTAAAATTGCAGCAAAATTGTTTGCTTTAATATGAGCCACATGCTTGAACAGGCTTGATACTGCTGAAAGTTTCTTAAAATTTTTTATTTTGTTTGTTAAGGGTGGTATCTTTCAAATAAGATTAAAAAATTATGATTTTTATACTTGCTTGAATAAGCTGATTGATGTGCCATGGCAATAATTAAGCCACTAAATGAAGCTAAAATTGCAAACAAGTACTATAAAATTATAACACAGCATATATACAAATTTTGGTCATGCTTGTACATGATTGTTTATTATTTAGAGCACTTGAAATTTAAAACCACGAGAAATTAAGTAAAGTATGTAGTTAAAATGAACTTATGGTTGCCGATAACCAATTTTTACGCTTGTTTGCATATGCTTGACAAGCGACACTGTGCCAAAAAGTGTAATTATTTATTTCTCACAGCAAATTCTTGAAATTTTGGCGCATTCTGGTATATTTTCGACATGGTTGATATGATTGACTAAGCTTGAAGTTCAAAAATGCACTTGCAAATTTATTTAACAAAATTTGTATAACTTGTAGTGATAAATTTGAAATTATTGAATAAGCTTGAAGTACAAAAATGCACTTATAAATTTGTTTAAATATACATAAAAAAAATTCCAATATAGTTTAGTAATAATTTTACAGATTCTCTTGTGTTTTTACCATGCTTGATGGTGTGCACTTAGTTAAGAGCAAAAGCTTTTATTCACTGTGTATTTCTCCATGTTTGCGCTTCAATGGCGTTCGCCAAAAATACGCGACACGACAGTTATGCCAAACAGCCAACCAACCAAACAGTCAGTCAGTCAGCCAACCAACCAAACAGCCCAAAATAGCACGTTTAAGCGTCAACAAAAACATTAACTAAATGCAAGTGTTCATATGATGTTGCCTAATGAATGCGCTGTGCGTTAGACACCGAAATAAGCAACAATAACAACAAAAATAGCGAAAATTGGTAACGCTGCGCGCGAATTAAAAGCGACAAGCAAACATATATACATACATATGTATATGTAAGCCAAGCATGCAAGCAGTCAATAAGCTGAAAAATACGCAAACAAGCGCATATAAGCTTTCATGTGTGCGTGTGTGTGTACATGTCATATTTATATATGCACACACTCGTTTGCGTTTATCTGCTTGTTTGCTTGATAGCAACAAATATTTGTGTATATGTGTGTTAAATAATTTAATTTAATTTTTTCCGCCGAAATTGTGCATACATGTGTGTGCGTTTGTGTGCTTACAGCGCTGGCAATGAAGTGTATAAAATTTTTTACGTGCTCATACGTACAACACCAGCAAATGTGCGAGTAAATTAAATTTTGCCAGCGCCATGGCAGACATCACAAGCAAATATAGTGGAAGATAGAAAAAATACAAAAACAAAAAATTACAAAACAACTAAAAATATTAACACTGGCTATAGCGTGGCTATAATACCCTTCACAGTAGCATTTCTTATAGCATTAAGGGTATAAAAAACATTTTTTTCGATTTTGAACTGTCGGTTTGTATGGCAGCCTTATGCTATAGACGCCCGATCTGAAAAAAAAAAAAAATGTCGGGGCTTATAGCTTTGCCTGCAACAACAACTTGTGCAAAATTTCGTGAAGCTACCTTTTCATATAAAAAGTTTTTCATATAAAGACTTGATTTTGATCGTTCAGTTTGTGTGGCAGCTATATGCTATAGTGGTCCCATATCGACAGTTCCGACAAATGAGTAGCTTCTTGGGGAGAAAGGAATTTATTCCAAATTTCAGAGCGGTGTCTATAAAACTGAGGGACTAGTTTGTATATATAGATATGAAGAGCCTTGACTAAATCGACTAAGCTCGTTAGCCTGATTATTTATTTATAAACTTTCGAAAGTCTCTGACGTTTCCTCCAAATTTTGTGTTAAATTTAATATATTCTGTATAGGGTATACAAAGTGTTTACGTGTAAATAAATATTGTTGTACATATGTTTGTATATGGCTGTATATAAGCAGATAAAACGCGCTGAAAACGAGAGTGAGCTTGCAATGCAAATAAGTAGAGCCAACAGACTCATACGCAGTTAAAAAAATTGAATAAATGTGTATGCTTGTACAGTATACAGTTATACATACTTATATACATAGCTATATGACACTTTTATATACTTATCTGCGCTTTTTATAGCTGCAACATATTTGCTGTGCCGCATAAAATGTGTACACACTCGAAAAAGGTGGCAGCATTAGCAGTAGTATAGTATATACATGCATAATGTGGCTATATACATACATATGCATACATATTATGTTTATATACATACACATTATGCTTATATACATATTACACATACTTATATACATACATTTTACGACTATATACCCACATTTCGGACTTATAAACACCCACATCTACATATATACCCCACTATATACCTACTTGCAGCTACTTTAAGCGCTTATATACAGACTACACACACACATACGCTCGCATTTACACTTATCTGTCTGTGTGGGTGGTAGCTGAAGTGGTTGTCATGCGCAGAAATGCGCACAGCATCCACACAGCTGCCGCCCAACCACCAGCAAATGCTTTGATGAACTTTTTTCGCTGTAAATCTTTTCCAATGAAATTTTTTACATGCTCTTGCTATAAATTTTTTCGCCTATATTACCAACAAAGTGTGTTGAGTGGCTTTAGTTTGGTTTTTTTTTTAATGTTGTTGGCGTCCACATTTTTTAATGTAGTTGTGTTTTTTTATGTGACAAAATTGTGTATACATGACTTTTGATGTCATATATAGAGGTAAATACATATATGTATACTTCAGCAGATATTGGTGTCATATGGGTATGTGGGTACATAAGTATGTATGAGTGTGTGCATAAGGAGATAGTACAAGCGTTGCTAAATTAAATTTGTGCTTTGCGTATACGAATTTTTGATTTACTTATACGCATTCATATTTCGTATATTTAAGCATAAATTTATATAAAAATTCACTTAATACTCAATACTTTTGTTTCAAATTTCATTAGAAATATTTTTTTTAAATACATTCAAACAAAATATTTAAATTTTACAGTAAGCTTAAAAAAAATTTCAAACTGCGCAAAAACTACACGAAATAAACTGTTCCCAGTTTTTGAGTAACTGTTCTCACTTATCAAATATGCTCCCTCGCAGCATTTAGCTGATTTATAATACCAAATTTTTGAATTAAACCTAAATTTCGCTATAAAAAACTGTTCCCACTTTAATATTTGCTCAATATGTGCATATTAGAGTCATACTTAATCATATTTTGCATTTGGCATGAAAATTACTTTCAGCATTGCACTATTTCATACACTTTAAAGCAAAATTGTGCAAATAAATCTGCTATTTTCAAGCAAAATATTCAAGTGTACAAATGTTTATGTGTTTAAGTGTTCATTCACAGTCTAAAAAATTTAAAAAAAAAACTGTTATGCTTTTTATGTTTTCCTGCAGTTTTTCTTAATTTTTTGCTAACTATTTAATTATGCCACTCATTGCGTACGCCTCGCTGCCGATCAAATTGTGCGCATTTACGCCATTAATTTACCTGAAAATCGACTGGCAATGCATTTTTTATCAGCTGCTATGCATATGCATATTTATTTATTTATTTCCGCATTTGTTTGTGCGATTTTTATGGCGCAAATGTTTGCTTGCAAACTTTTTTTATATATTTTTTTTTCTTTATAAATCTTTTTATATATTTTTTTATTGTATTGTTCTCTCAATTTTTTTTTATTTTTTGTTTTTGTTTTCGAATTTCTATGTACTGAAAATGCGTTTGGCAGCTTTTTTTATATATTTTTTTTTCTTTATAAATCTTTTTAT